GCTTCTGCGATTGTACGCCTCGCAGGGTCCGCAAAGACTCCGCCCTAGGATAGGAGGCGGCTCATTTGGTGCAAGAGGGTCTGTCGTGTGAGGGGGCAAGGGAGGATAGGGCGGAAGCTTCTCGTGTAGCCATCGGCAGAAAGTGGATCCCAGATATGTCCGAGATGTGCACATTAGGTGGTGAGTAGTGCTAGGAGCTCTTCGCGTGAATATTGTGACCTCCCGTGTGGTGCGCGTGGGTCATCATGGTAGTTCCAGATGTGTCGGGCTCTGCAGACAAGTGGGGGATGCGCACATCGAGATGCTGTCGGGATCCGGGCGAGCGCAGTAGAGCCCAAGCATGCCGATGGCGAGTTTCGCCTCGAGTACGGTCGTTGAAGGGGCATTCTCTGGGTCAATGACGGGGTCGATGACCACGTCGACGTCAGCGCCGGGACTGGAGGTACTGGCCATCCCGAGGCCGCGTGGGGAGGAACCACTACCACCGGTGCCGACTCGCCCCTTGCTCGCGTGGAGCTGTGCGGCGAGGCCGTGCTCTTTGCCCTTGCCTTCAGCCCCGCCGACGGCGAGTGTCGCCTAGCGCCATTGAAAGGGGATTATCAGCGCCAATGAGCTCGGACGCGCTCGAGGGGTGCGCAAAAGCCTGCACCGTCCGCCCCTTCCGTCCGATGATCGCGCCGTGCGTGCCGGCGCTCTGGAGCGAGCGCTGGGTGCGGCGCGCTGTCGAGAGCGCCGCCTCCGTCGCCTGCCGGCTGCTTGCGCCGCCGCCGCCAGAGCCGCCGCTGCCGCCGCCGGAGCCGCCATAGCCGCCGCCGCAACCGCCGCCGGCGCGGCCGCGGCTGAGCCACTGGCTGAGGTCGAACCGGCCGTGATCCGTGTCGCCCGCGATGGGGCCGCTGGCGGTCATGGCCGCCGCCGCGCCACACTCGTGGGCGAAGGGCAGCACTGCCGCCGTCAGGACGGCGCCCTCCGCCGCGTTCATCTGCGACAGGTCCGCGCAAGCCATGCGCTCAGAGCGCAGCCGGCCCTGCTGCGTCACCGTCACTAAGGTGCTAATCTTGTCGACGATGGCGCGCGCGCCGGCCTGGAGCAGCTTCTCGCCCTGCGTAGGCCGAAGCAGCTGCTGCCCGGTGGCCCACGACGTGCCCAGCGCCTCGCCGACGTCGGTGCGGCACGGGAGGATGGGCTCTGAGAGCCGCGTCTGGCAACTTGAGACCAGCCCAGAGGGAAGCGCCTTGGGAGACGCGAGCCGACTCGCGTTGCTGCCCTGCACGACGGACGCCGCACGGGCCGTCGCCGCCCCGCGTGCCAGCGGAGTGCGCCGTGGCGCTCGCGCGGACAGTCGCGGTCACGCCCGACGAAGGGTCGGTGACCACATCGCTGTCAGCGCCGGGACTAGAGGTACTGCCCAGTAGGAGGCCGGGTGGGGAGGAGCCACTCCCACCGTCAATGCCGACGCGCCCCTTGCCCGCGTGGAGCTGTGCGGCGAGGCCGTGCTCTTCGCCCTTGTCTTCAGTCCCGCCGACGGCGAGGTTCGCCCCGACAGCGGCCGTTGCAGGGGCGGTCTCAGCGCCAATGAGCTCGGACGCGCTCGAGGGGTGCGCAAAGGCCTGCACCGTCCGCCCCTTCCGTCCGATGATCGCGCCGTGCGTGCCGGCGCTCTGGAGCGAGCGCTGGGTGCGGCGCGCTGTCGAGAGCGCCGCCTCCGTCGCCTGCCGGCTGCTTGCGCCGCCGCCGCCAGAGCCGCCGCTGCCGCCGCCGGAGGCGCCATAGCCACCGCCGCAGCCGCCGGCACGGCCACCGCTGAGCCACTGGCTGAGGTCGAACCGGCCGTGATCCGTGTCGCCCGCGATGGGGCCGCTGGCGGTCATGGCCGCCGCCGCGCCACGCTCGTGGGCGAGGGGCAGCACGGCCGCCGTCAGGACGGCGCCCTCCGCCGCGTTCATCTGCGACAGGTCCGCGCAAGCCATGCGCTCAGAGCGCAGCCGGCCCTGCTGCGTCACCGTCACTAAGGTGCTGATCTTGTCGACGATGGCGCGCACGAAGCCGCGCGCGCCGGCCTGGAGCAGCTTCTCGCCCTGCGTAGGCCGAAGCAGCTGCTGCCCGGTGGCCCACGACGTGCCCAGCGCCTCGCCGACGTCGGCGCGGCAGGCGAGGGTGGGCTCTGAGAGCCGCGTCTGGCAACTTGAGACCAGCCCAGAGGGAAACGCCTTGGGAGACGCGAGCCGACTCGCGTTGCTGCCCTGCACGGCGGACACCGCACGGGCCGTCGCCGCCCGCGTGCCAGCGGAGTGCGCCGTGGCGCTCGCGTGGACAGTCGCGGTCACGCCCGACGAATGGTCGGTGACCACGTCGCTGTCAGCGCCGGGACTAGAGGTACTGCCCAGTAGGAGGCCGGGTGGGGAGGAGCCACTCCCACCGCCGGTGCCGACGCGCCCCTTGCCCGCGTGCATCTGTGCGGCGAGGCCGTGCTCTTCGCCGTCGTCTTTTGCCCCGCCGGCGGCGAGGTTCGCCTCGACAGCGGCCGTTGAAGGGGCGGTCTCAGCGCCAATGAGCTCGGACGCGCTCGAGGGGTGCGCAAAAGCCTGCACCGTCCGCCCCTTCCGTCCGATGATCGCGCCGTGCGTGCCGGCGCTCTGGAGCGAGCGCTGGGTGCGGCGCGCTGTCGAGAGCGCCGCCTCCGTCGCCTGCCGGCTGCTTGCGCCGCCGCCGCCAGAGCCGCCGCTGCCGCCGCCGGAGCCGCCATAGCCACCGCCGCGACCGCCGCCGCGGCCGCCGCTGAGCCACTGGCTGAGGTCGAACCGGCCGTGATCGGTGTCGCCTGCGATGGGGCCGCTGGTGGTTGCGGCCGCCGTCGCGCCGCGCTCGTGGGCGAAGGGCAGCACGGCCGCCGTCAGGACGGCGCCCTCCGCCGCCTTCTCCTGCGACAGGTCCGCGCAAGCCATGCGCTCAGAGCGCAGCCGGCCCTGCTGCGTCACCGTCACTAAGGTGCTGATCTTGTCGACGATGGCGCGCACGAAGCCGCGCGCGCCGGCCTGGAGCAGCTTCTCGCCCTGCGTAGGCCGAAGCAGCTGCTGCCCGGTGGCCCACGACGTGCCCAGCGCCTCGCCGACGTCGGCGCGGCAGGCGAGGGTGGGCTCAGAGAGCCGCATCCAGCAACTTGAGACCAGCCCAGAGGGAAGCGCCTTGGGAGACGCGAGCCGACTCATGTTGCTGTCCTGCACGGCGGACGCCGCGCGGAGCGTCGCCGCCCGCGAGCCAGTGGGGTGCGCAGTGGCGCTCGCGCGGACAGTCGCGGTCACGCCCGACAAAGGGTCGGCGACCACGTCGCTGTCAGCGCCGGGACTAGAGGTACTGCCCAGTAGGAGGCCGGGTGGGGAGGAGCCGCTCCCACCGCCGGTGCCGACGCGCCCCTTGCCCGCGTGGAGCTGTGCGGCGAGGCCGTGCTCTTCGCCGTTGTCTTCAGCCCCGCCGACGGCGAGTGTCGCCTCGACCGCGGCCGTTGAAGGTGCGGTCTCAGCGCCAATGAGGTCGGACGCGCTCGAGGGGTGCGCAAAGGCCTGCACCGTCCGCCCCTTCCGTCCGATGATCGCGCCGTGCGTGCCGGCGCTCTGGAGCGAGCGCTGGGTGCGGCGCGCTGTCGAGACCGCCGCCTCCGTCGCCTGCCGGCTGCTTGCGCCGCCGCCGCCAGAGCCGCCGCTGCCGCCGCCGGAGCCGCCATAGCCGCCGCCGCAACCGCCGCCGGCGCGGCCGCGGCTGAGCCACTGGCTGAGGTCCCGGCCGTGATCCGTGTCGCCCGCGATGGGGCCGCTGGCGGTCATGGCCGCCGCCGCGCCACGCTCGTGGGCGAGGGGCAGCACGGCCGCCGTCAGGACGGCGCCCTCCGCCGCGTTCATCTGCGACAGGTCCGCGCAAGCCATGCGCTCAGAGCGCAGCCGGCCCTGCTGCGTCACCGTCACTAAGGTGCTGATCTTGTCGACGATGGCGCGCACGAAGCCGCGCGCGCCGGTCTGGTGCAGCTTCTCGCCCTGCGTAGGCCGAAGCAGCTGCTGCCCGGCGGCCCACGACGTGCCCAGCGCCTCGCCGACGTCGGCGCGGCACGGGAGGATGGGCTCTGAGAGCCGCATCCGGCAACTTGAGACCAGCCCAGAGGGAAGCGCCTTGGGAGACGCGAGCCGACTCGCGTTGCTGCCCTGCACGGCGGACGCCGCACGGGCCGTCGCCGCCCGCGTGCCAGCGGAGTGCGCCGTGGCGCTCGCGCGGACAGTCGCGGTCACGCCCGACGAAGGGTCGGTGACCACATCGCTGTCAGCGCCGGGACTAGAGGTACTGCCCAGTAGGAGGCCGGGTGGGGAGGAGCCACTCCCACCGTCAATGCCGACGCGCCCCTTGCCCGCGTGGAGCTGTGCGGCGAGGCCGTGCTCTTCGCCCTTGTCTTCAGTCCCGCCGACGGCGAGGTTCGCCCCGACAGCGGCCGTTGCAGGGGCGGTCTCAGCGCCAATGAGCTCGGACGCGCTCGAGGGGTGCGCAAAGGCCTGCACCGTCCGCCCCTTCCGTCCGATGATCGCGCCGTGCGTGCCGGCGCTCTGGAGCGAGCGCTGGGTGCGGCGCGCTGTCGAGAGCGCCGCCTCCGTCGCCTGCCGGCTGCTTGCGCCGCCGCCGCCAGAGCCGCCGCTGCCGCCGCCGGAGGCGCCATAGCCACCGCCGCAGCCGCCGGCACGGCCACCGCTGAGCCACTGGCTGAGGTCGAACCGGCCGTGATCCGTGTCGCCCGCGATGGGGCCGCTGGCGGTCATGGCCGCCGCCGCGCCACGCTCGTGGGCGAGGGGCAGCACGGCCGCCGTCAGGACGGCGCCCTCCGCCGCGTTCATCTGCGACAGGTCCGCGCAAGCCATGCGCTCAGAGCGTAGCGGGCCCTGCTGCGTCACCGTCACTAAGGTGCTGATCTTGTCGACGATGGCGCGCACGAAGCCGCGCGCGCCGGCCTGGAGCAGCTTCTCGCCCTGCGCGATCTCGAATGTCGGCCGTGACTGCCCCAATGTCTCGCCGCCGTCGGCACCGCAGGTGCCTGAGGCGTCCCAAGACTCGCGGGTCGCGCACGCGCACTCGTTCATGACGCAGTTCTCCCTCTTGGCCGCCTCCGCGCACGCGTCCTCGCCGAGCGACGCAGAGGCGTTCGGCGCGTGATGTGCGCTCGATCCGGCCGCGCCGGCGCCGGCGAGTTCGACACTCACCATCTTCTCCGCATAGTCGCCGCCGCCGCGGCAGCCGTCAAAGGCGGAACAGGTCTTGCGCGGCCCGCCGAGGCTGCCGCGGTTGTCGATCTTGCGCTGGACGTCGGTCGGGACGCCCAGTATGTTGCGGCTGGCGCCGCACGCTGGCTGGGAGGTGCCCCCAGCCGTCTCAAAGCCAGGCGGCGCCAAGCGCGCCGCTTCCGTCGAGCGCCCGTCGATGCTGGAGTGCACGATCGAGTCCGAGCCGAGGGCGTGGCCCTCGATGAGAATGCGGCCGCTCTCGGCGGCCGCGAGCCCCGCAAGAAGTAGGTGCATCGAAAGGCAGCGGGTTGCGAAGACAGCTGTCTATACTCGGCCTCGACCTCGGAGGTTGGCTGAGGGAGATTGCGATATGCTGCGTGCCATCTCTCGTTCCCTGCTCGTTCCCCTCTCCTTCGTAATCGTTCACAGACAGGTTGATAAGAAACAAGAAGGTTTGGGTGTGAGAGGCGGACCTCTTCACACGTTTTGACCTCGACGTAGCTCCGCAATCTCGATTGAATCTCGATGCGCTCTCCACAAATACTCGCTGGAGCCTCCAAACCAGACCCACCCTCTCGGAGATATCCAGAACGCCCCGGATCGTCTCATTTCGTAGCCACTTGTTTGTGCATTCATTCATCTGGCCACAGAGCGCTCAACGCTCGCCGACCACCTATCGCCGTGCCCCAGCCACAGGTCCTCTCGCCGCGCCGGCCCGTGCGAGGTCGCCGTGACCTGGCCCTCGTCGCGCCGCGTGCACAGGCGCCTCTCACTCCGCCGCTCGCGCCGCCAAGCGCGACGAGACGTGCAGCGAACTGAGCAGCTAGCGCGAAGGTGTCTCAAAGTGGTCTCAAGTGTCTCGAACGTGTCTCAAACTCGAATCGTCGATCGAATCTAAATCATGTGCATATCACACACAGGCCGCAAAGACACAGCGAAGACGCCAAAGACGGCGACAGGTGAAGGACCTCAAGGAGCCTACTCTATTCCAAACAGCTCTAAATAGAATGGGTTTAGGTTTATTGTTGGCAAATCAAGACACAGAGCTCACACAGAATCACAGCGGGAGGAAAGCGGCGAGTCGCAATTCCTGGGGTCCTTGTGGCGGGCCACACTGTCCAGAGAGGCATGGATGCCAATCTGGGGTCTCTCGACCGAGTCTATGAGTCCTGC